GGCAAACAGCATAAGTCAATGTAGTAAAAAGCACATCAAACTCTAAAATGCACCACAACTCACAGATGTAAATATGAATGGGTTATGATGTGCTGCATCAGGTGAGCTTATTGCTGCTTTTGGCCCAAATAGGCAACGCATTGCAAATGATCATGACAACAGATGCCAATGGATGCTAAATTTCATATGCATAGATGTAAGTTGGCCCTTCACATCTACACCTTCACACTGGTGTCCGTTTATGACACAGAGAATAGCTGCGATTCAACGGATCTCAGCTATTCTCTGGTCATTCAGTTTATGACACTCAGGAGATCATGTCAGCCCTTCACTGGAGATCTGTGTTCTCCCTCCAGATTCTCCAGCCCAGAGCTGGAGAATCAGAGGGACCGCAAACTAAGCAGAGATAATTTACCTCTGCTTAGTAAACTGATCTTTTACTGTAATCTCGCGAGATTATAGTAAAATCAGCCGTTTTCCAGCATTTGTAGACCGTTCTCCAGCGTTTGGAGACCGTTCTCCCGTCGTTCGGAGAACTGCTTCATAAACTGCATTCACAGGAGAACTGTGTTCTCCGAGAATGCCGGAGAACTGAGCAGCGATCTATTACCGCTGGTTCATAAACGGACACCACTGTTAGAAAACAGCACTGAATAACCAGGAGCTTCAATGTCACAATGAGGTGTACTGAAAAACTGTTGAATCTATGACATGTGCAAAGGTTTATTTTCATGGAGCAACATCAGGGAACAAAGTAATAATAATTATACGAATTCCAACATTTGATTTCATAGATTATGACAATTATTAGAGAACTTTCTGTTCTACAAACAACCGCTGAACACTGAACCGAAAGATCAATTCCATTTTTCTCCTTCTAAATCCTATTTTTGGCAATGACTGTACATGAGCTTACCAGATATTTTCCAGTGTGCTGAGAAATCTACACATGTATTGTTTTTTTTTTCACTCTACCCATATATTTCATAACCCTGTATTATTGGTATAGACCTATTTGATAATAATGTTAAAGCAGATGTGAAGTCATCAGTCAAATGTAGAACTGGAGCAAGGTGAATCTGTAAATAAGAAAAAATAAACCCATCTTGTTTTCCAGCCTTTTCTTCGTGGATTTGCAGCTGCCCTCCTGAATATGCTGTTAATCAAAGCAGGGATGGGAGTCTGCAGAAGTGACAAGGGCAGTATGTACTGAACATTGACATTTACAACTACAGGAGCGCTGATATGGGTGACAACAGTCTGCAGCACTGGAGCCAGTGTGATACATGTTGTCACCATGAAAACGTTAGTGGCAATTTGCCTGTAAGAACTGGCAGGATCAACAGGTAATATTCAATATATTCCAATCAGAAACCATAAAATACTATAATTAACTGGCTTAAAAGACCTTAGCCTACAATATATTGATCTTTTAGTTTACATACAGCACACTTTCATAGCAATTTTTACTTTAATGCAACTTGACTGCTTGTTTCAGCGTTTAGTATACAGCTATTCTGGTTTGACTGCTTGATCCAGTGTTTAGCATACAGCTGTTGTGGCCTGATTGTTCTCTGGTATACTGCCAATGTAGAACCAAGCCTACTGCATTAGTGAGAGAGAAGTGATTTGATGGAGGGACACACAGTTGAGCTGATGAGACCTGGAGTGGAGAGGAAAATATACGTATACTTTACCTCCTTTTTTATACCTTTGTGACCTGCATTCTGCATGTTGGCAGTTCATTCATTTCAGTGAGGTTCCCTACCTGCACAAATGCTGGGAAAAAGGTCTTGGACCCTTTTTGAAAATCTCATGGAAGTGCTGCGGCAGCATGCAGTTTTTTGTGAGCAAAAACATGGACATTTTGCCAATGCCTGGGGGTGTCATTAAAGAGCAGCGTGTTCCTATCACGTGTTGGGAACAATCGTGCAATAATGTGAATCTAGCCTTAGGTATATTTGATTACGTGCAATACATTTTTTTAATCTGTTTTGTTGTGAATAAATTAATAATTCTCATGTAATTGCTGTTTCATTTGATAACATGCTGTGATGTAAAAGGTGTGACAAATATACTCTATGGTGAATAATTTTGTTTTTATTAATAATAATGTAAGACTGGAAATATTTTCCCTCACAACTGTGTACTGCTGCACAAAGGATAAATAATTAATACATGTGCTCCAGTTAATATCATACATTGTAAGCTAAAAAAAGCAAATACTGGGCAGCACAGTGACTTAGTGGTTAGCACGTCTACCTTGCAGTAAATGGGTCATGGGTTCGATTCCCGACCATGGTGCCTCCTGCATGGAGTTTGCATGCTCTCTCTGTGCTTGCGTGGGTTTCCTCCGGGTGCTCTGGTTTCCTCCCACACTCCAAAGACATGCTGGTAGGTTAATTAGATCCTGTCTAAATTGACCCTAATATATGTATGAATGTAAGTCAGGGACCTTAGATTGTACACCCCTTGAGGGTTAGGGACTGATGTGAATGTACAATATATATGTAAAGCACTGCATAAATGGACAGTGCTATATAAGTACCTGAAATAAATAAATAATCTGATTTGCATGTTAGACATATGGTCAGGGGCGGACTGACAACTCATGGGGTCCCCAGGCAATAGGGGATCATGGGGCCCCTGTGTCCTTGCCCAAACTCAAAAAAAGCCTATGAAAAAAGGTACCAGGGGCATCTCATGGGGCCCCCTACTGACCCCAGGCCCTCGGACAGTGCCAAAGTTTCCAAATGGTCAGTCCACCCCTTCATATGGTATATCACCAGTGATCTGTGATTCAGTAGTCACACTGCAGATCAGTTTAGAAAGATGTCAGACTGACTCCTTTTCACCAAATTAAGAAACGTGAGATTTTAGCAAACTAAGCATGCATAACTTTCCTATTCCTGACATGTCATGTTGGAACATTACATTTCTACAGTCTAGAGATATAAACATATTGCAAAGCTTGATTTGCTGGACATGATTGGTGATCATGAAAAACATGGGAACTTGAGTATGGATCCACACCTCTCCAACACTGTACATGTTTAGTAGGAACAACAGTGACTGAGGAGAGTTTTTTTTGTTACCAGAAAAACTATGTACAACGTTCTCTGATATATTTTTTTCTTTACTATCTTTAGGACTAAAATTGTTTACGTTGTCTAGTAAATATAAAATACGACCCATGAGTGTGTCATATATACTGCATGCAGGTAGCAAGTGTTCTCAAGTTAATAAACATTTGGTAAACTATTTTATTTCTATGCTGTGAATAGGCTAAGATTTGCTACTTAGAACACACATGAATTTGGAATTAGATGTCGGATCAAATTTCTCCTGTATGCTACATAAACATGGAGGCAACTTGTGTTAAAGCTGAAATATAATCTGCTTATATTTTGCCTTCCCTGGCTTCTCCTTTTCCACTCATCAACATGCTGATAAACCTTTGAATAAAACCTTTTGGTTTTCAATTCATACCCTATTTTGTCCCAGTGATGTCACCACTGTGTCTTTGTGCTTCTCTAGACATTGCAGAGGCATTGTAGCTGGTGGGAAACCTCGGCAGGGTGCTGTACATGGCTTCCTGAAAAATTCATAGCACCCTGGCTCAGTACTCTTCAACAAACTGGCTCTTGGAGGAGTGTATGCAACTTTTTAAAGTGCTTTTATGGGTGGATTTTAATATAGAGGTGTGGATATTCCAAGGCTGGCCACATTTCCATGTGCCCATGTGATGCTGAACCCCAAAGACTGAAAGAACCAAAATTCATTAGATGAAAGAGGCAGCCCAGAGATAGAAGGGCTGGGTATAAATTGGCTAGAAGATGACAATTGTCTTCCAGCCAGGAAATGGCCTTATCTGACTTGATGCAGCTTCTAATGCACACTATGAGAAACACAGTATGCGATGAAATCAAAACCAGCAATTTCAGTACAGAAGAGGAGCCTGTACAACTGTGCAAGACTGAAAGGAAGGCTTGAGTTCTGCATTAAAGTAACTTGTGTTAAAGCTTAACTTCAGGGTTTTGGAAATCTCCCCCACCTGTATACCTCAAATCCTACAGTCTTCTTGGTCACATGATGTTACAGGTCCTTCCTCTTCTCCTTTTGAGTCTGCTGTGGGGAAGCCCTCCTACTGGCAACAGCATGTTCCCTTGTATGGAAACTCCGCTCCTGGGGTGGGTACTATAGGTTGGCTAGCTTATTCCTTTATAATCATAGGGTTGGAAGAACTAGAGCTAAGAGGTTGATGGTGTTGTCATAAATCACTATGTAGGTTATAGTTTAGTGAAGTACGCTGTTCAGGGTAGGCCCACAGTAGAAAAACCCATCTCAGGGAACCTACAACTGAAGAAAGTGGAAGTGCTGGTTAGCATCCCCTGTTAAATGTGAGTTTGGACCATACAGTAATGCCAATGTCTGGTGGAATGAGGAAGAGGTGTACTTTTGGGAGAACTTTGCAGCCTCTTCATATTACAGTAAAGTGTTGAAAAGACTGATCGTGTGGACATTCCGTATTTCAGGAGGTTAACCTCTGGCATGTGAGTAATCAAGATGATGGAATCCCTCCATTCTACAGGTGTATAGTACCCCATCCTGAACCTGTTATTTGAGAAACATGAGAGGCACCCTGAGCTGGCATACCTGTTGTCTCTGGCAAATCAGGGGTCGGCTAACAGGTGCTAATGTAATGATATGGGAGCACCATCCTGTTTAGGAGTATTTGTTTTTTATTTCTGTTGGAATATTTTTTTGGGTTACAAAAAGGTGGAGTTGGGCTTTAAATGTTTACTTTTAAAATAAAGATCTTATAAAATATATGAAAACAATTATATAAAAGATTCGATTATAAACTTGCAAACAATAAAAAAAAATGACCAATATCTACACTATATTGCCAGAAGTATTGGGACACCCCTCCAAATCATTGGATTCAGGTGTTCCAATCACCTCCATGGCCACAGGTGTATAAAATAAAGCACCCAGGCATGCAGACTGTTTTTACAAACATTTGAGAAAGAATGGGTTACTCTCAGGAGCTCAATGAATTCAAGCGTGGTACTGTGATAGGTTGCCACCTGTGCAATAAGTCCATCCGCAAAATTTCCTTGCTACTAAATATTCCACGGCCAACTGTTAGTGGTATTTTAACAAAGTGGAAGCAACTGGGAACAACCGCAACTCAGCCATGAAGTGGTAAGCCACATAAAATGACAGAGTGAGGTAAGGCATGCTGAAGCGCACAGTGCGCAGAAGTCGCCAACTGTCTGCAGAGTCAATAGCTAAAGACCTCCAAACTTCGTGTGGCCTCCAGATTAGCACAACAATAGTGTGTGGAGAGCTCCATGGAATGGGTTTCTATGGCCGAGCAGCTGCATCCAAGCTTTACATCACCAAGTGCAAGGCAAAGTGTCGGATGCAGTGGTGTAAAGCACGCCACCACTGGACTCTAGAGCAGTGGAGACATGTTCTCTGGAGTAACCACTCACACTTCTCTGTTTGGCAATCCAATGGATGTGTCTGGGTTTGGCGGTTTGGTTGTTAGGAGAACGGTACTTGCCTAACTGCATTGTGTCAAGTGTAAAGTTTGGTGGAGCGGGGATTATGGTGTAGGATTGTTCTTCAGGGAAAAGAAGTCTTAAAGCATCAGCATACCAAGACATTTTGGACAATTTCATGCTCCCAACTTTGTGGGAACAGTTTGGGGATGGACCCCTCCTGTTCCAACATGTCTGTGCACCAGTGCACAAAGCAATGTCCATAACGACATGGATGAATGAGTTTGGGTTGGAGGAACTTGACTGTTCTGCAGAGTCCTGACCTCAACCTTTAGGATGAATTAGAGCGGAGACTGCGAGCCAAGTCTTCTCATCCGACATCAGTGCCTGACCGAACAAATGTGCTTCTGGAAGAATGGTCAAACATTCCCATAGGCACACTCCGAAACCTTGTGGAAAGCCTTCCCAGAAGAGCTGAAGCTGTTATAGCTGTAAACGGTGGGCCAACTCAATATTGAACCCTACAGGCTAAGACTGGAGTGCCATTAAAGTTCATGTGCGTGTAAAGGCAGGAGTCCCAATACATTTGGCAATATAGTGTATGTATTTTTAGGTCGGGGGTGTCTGCAACGATCCAAAGGGTTAACCTATATGACTAAATATATACAGTACTCTATACCATACTGCAGGCTGCTAAGACAGAACGACACATAAAATGTGTTTATCCTAAATGCTATGCATATTCCACTTTTGTTAATACTTCAAATGACTGTCAACAAATTGGGCACATCTACTGAATGACCCTAATCACAATTCATTTATAATAACAAATTGCACTAAATTAAATGTATATAATGCGTACCTAACTGAAAAGCTATTACTGCATTAAGATGCATTCAGGTAAAGTGCCCTCAGCGTGTTAGGAACCTGTGATGGCACCGTACATAGTATACTGAATTAAAGGTCATTACAGAAGTCTATAGTTAGAGAGGAGAAGCTGTTTGTAATATTGCCAGCATGGTTTTGTTTGATGTGGTTTAAATTAGCTCTTGTGGTCCTGGGCAGTAATCTTAGCACCTTTCATCTTTTTTTCATTGTTGGCATAACTTGTACAATTAGAATGGAAATGAATCTTGCTGAAAGTATTGCCAGGTAGATGCAATTAAATGTCTACTTCTTATTCACCTTGTAAAAAAAATGTCTACTTCTAACCTCGACACAACGCAAAACACCGCTAAGAACTCCACAGCGACTTGCCAACAATGTTATGTCTATTGTATGTATATTTCATTTTATTCTTTACACATAATTTACAGAAAATATTCACTCTTTCCGGGCTGGGTTCATGGGTTTAATTCAATCATCAAAAGAGCTTATGAGATTGTGTGTGCCTCCCTGGTGCTGTGGTTTTTCCTCCTACCACTTAGTAAATTCATAGTAGGTTTCTTGGCTTCTACCCAAATTGTGTGTGTATGTATCTGCAGACATGGGGGACTTAAACAACAATATCCTTTGGGGGCAAGTACTAATGTAACTATATATATTTTGTAAGACATTATACATTTGTTAGCACTGTGTTGCTGTTTTAAGAACATACATATACAAAACTGACAATGTTAAAAAGTAATTGCTGCTTTGTTGTTTATTAGCTTTTTTATATAGCATTGACATATTGGAGTGTTTTAGAAGATAATATGCATCAGTTGCATAAGTCTTTGCACCAGAGGGAACTACAATCTAACTTCCATTCCATAATCATTTGCTCACAAACTTTATGAAGTCAGGTTAGAAAGAAGCCAATTAACAAAAAAAAGTTTGTTTTTGGACTTCACATAGAATCTAAGAAGGAGAATCACACCAAAAACAGGAGGACATAAAGTGCAATGACTAAGAGGACCAGGTCTGGAAACCATTAGTTCTAACCCCAGCGGCAGTTTAGTGCTACTCTATATGCCTACCACACCTGTATGAACACCTGACCACCACACATGTATGAGCTTGTTGGATATCCTATATCAAAATCATGGACATTAAAGCTGAACTCCAAATTTCATATGACTCTAAAAGAGAAGTATGGGTTTAAAAAAAAAAAAACATATATGTACTCACCTAGGTGGATGGAGCATCGGTCCAAAACTGCCGCAGCACCCCGCTGCTTCTAATTCTGAGAACCGAGTAATCAAAGACCGCTGACCACTTGGTTCTCAGTCTTCAGAGAGCAGACAGCTGGTGACTGTCAGTCACTGGCTCTCTGCTCTGTGCCTCCTGCACTCACTGGAATGCTGGGCTGTGGAGGTGAGAGCAGCTGGCTCAGGCTCTCAGAAGCATGCTGCTGGTTCAGGCATCTTGGTGGATCCCAACTTTAAAGTCGGGATCTTTCTTCAGCCTGTAGCAGCTTTGGCCCACTGTCGACTGAAAACAGGTCACAGGAGTGCAGAACAAACTGCACACTTGTGACACACAGAATAGGTAGGACCAAAAAAACCTTTGGCCATATTTCTCTCTTAAATAGCTTGTTTGGACACAGATGATCCAAATTAACTTTTTGCTTCACTAATTGATGCACCCGCTTGCAGCGCTGTATGAAATGTATGTAACCTCAGCTACATACAGTATACAGCGATGTGTTCCAGGAGCGGAATGAGGACTTCTCACTACTAGAACCAACCGCGTTGGGCTGAGCTTGCTCAGACATTCACAGGCAGCAATGTTTTTCATCAATGAATACATGGCTATCTCTTATTGGCTGAGGTGGAGAAGCAGGCAGATGATGTCACAATCTCCACTTCAGCCAATCAGAGGAAGTCTTGTATTCATTGTTGATACACAATTCTTCCTGTGGATGGCTGAGCAGCCTGACTCAATTTTGTAAATGGCTGAGCAGAACAGAAAGTCTCCATCCTGTAGCCGATGCTACATATAATTTATATAGCAAGCACATCTGTTAGTGAAGCAAATAGTTTGCATGGATCAGCTTTGTCCAAACAAACTATTTAAAGTCATAAAAAACCTAGAGTTATGCTTTAATATGGAACGTCCCCTATTTGCAGCTTTAAAGCTTTTCACTCTTCTGGAAAGGCCTTCCTCAAGGTTTTGGAGTATGTATGTAGGACTTGGTGTACGTTCAAGACATTTGTGATGTCAAATAATGATATTGGATGAGAAGACCTGGGTCATAATTGGGACTTACAATTTATTCTGAATGCGTTCAATAGAGTTTAGCATTCTGTCTAGGTCATTGAGTTCCTTCACACCAAACTCAAACTATTTTTGGGCATATAGTGTAGGTATGATTGTCAGGTGTTGAAAAACGTTTGACCATATTGCATTTCATGATGTAAATTAGAGAAAGGCTTATCTGCAGTCAAGTTGGCCATGCCCTCTGCAGAAGCCGAGCTCACAGAAAATAGCTAAATAAACATTTGGGATTTGTACATGTTGACTGTTTTACCTGCCAAAGGATTTGTAGTTCTCAGCATTAGTCTTGTGATAGATGTACCTCTGAAGAAAGGCAGCTGACCTGTTCTGGTTCAGCAATGCACCTATCTCACCTGCCACCAGTCTGTTCCTTGGATAATACATCAGTATCATGGCCTCCAGCGAGAAGGGAGGTGAACCAGAAAGCAGTAATGTTACACTAGGAAGTACCAGAGTGATTGTGCTTACTTTGCAGAGATGTGTTCCACAGTAAATGTTGGTCAATATGATATTTTTTTTTTTGCAGGTAAAAACAGTAAACATATATGTATTAGAACCATGTACTTCTGTTTGCCTTAGGTTCCCACTTTATTCCACTTACTAAACATAAAGAAGTACAGGAGAAAATTTTTCTTTAAAAAGTAAGTTAGCACTGCTTATATTGTGATTGTATTCCGCTGTTGGTGGAAGGTTTGAACGACTGATTTCATGACTACGTATAGTATGCAAATTAAGAATTTAAACTTTCAGCTCTAGAGACCATTTTGAATTCTGCTATTCTGGGGAAGCGGAATCCCTGATCTTGTAAATGTCCATTATAACTTATCCACACTGGTTTTTTGAAGTACATTAATGGTATACTTATGCTAGCATCAAACAAATGTCCTTGTGTTGTAAAAATTCAGCTTATCAATCTCAGTATTGAAGATTTTACTTCCAAACTTTAGTCCTGCTCAGGGTAGACTTCAGTAAACATTTAAAGTTTAAACAGCATTATTATTTCTGTACTGTATGCTGAACATTTTCTTCAAAGGTTATGGTAATTGACAATAATAGAGGAGATATTAAATATAATGGACTAGTAAAGAACAAAGTTATTCTCTTTCAGCTTGGCAGTTGGCATGGCCAATTAGAAATTCTGCTTACATAACATACATAACTCCCAATTTCTTAAATTAAATGTCATTTTTTGTTCAATGTCCACTGTCCATCTCCTAAATTGCATTTATAATAGGTTGTAAACATCTCAACAAAAATATATAATGTTCCTGTATTCTGAATGGAATATATCAAAGTATTACTGGGTTAACATATTACCAAAAATTTAACTTTTTTTCTTCCACAGAAATTAAAGCACCTATTGAACCTCCTTATTAAAATACCATATTTTCCCATACTATGTTAAAATTCAGTATCATTCTCCTATACTGATATCAAAAGATTATTCTCTAATTGGTCTTTAAAAAAACATTTGCTATTTTAAAATAAAGAGGACACAAACAGCTTTTCAGATATTACCGCATATCCCTGCATGATTCCCCAGTACTGCTGCCATCATTGTACAGTATGTAGTTTAAGAAATCAGATAATCATGAATTAAATTATTTTCTGCAGGACTGTCATCCTTATCCTTCCTTCACGATCTGGTGAGCCACTGACTTGGACAAGTATATGTATCAGGTGTTAGGACACTTGAAGTGCATGTGCTTGCTCTAGGACAGTGACTACATTATACTGTAAGAATGAGGATGACAGC